AAGTCTTGTGTCGACACTCTGGCGCCCTGGCTCCATGAGGTGATTGAACGAGCGTGGAGAGACGAGGTTGTTCCTGATAACTGGGGCTTAGGCATCCTTGTACCTATCCTCAAGAAGCGAGATAAGACAAGATGCGAGAACTACCGCGGCATAAGTTTCATTGACGTTGCTGCGAAGATCTTCGCAATTGTCCTACCCAGGCGATTCCAGGCTGTGCGTGACTCAAGGACGAGGCCCAACCAAGCCGGATTTCGTGCTGGACGTGGATGTGCAGACCAGATATTTACACTGAGGCGCATTCTCGAATTTCGCCATAGTTACCAACAACCGACGGCCGTCTGCTTCATTGACTTTGCCGCCGCGTTCGATTCCGTTCTCTGTGAGTCCCTGTGGCGGATAATGGCGCTAGATGGTGTACCGGCAAAAATCACCGTCATGAATAAGGCCTATTATCGCTTCACTACTGCGAGCCCTGGTCCGCAACTATCTTTCCCAACCGTTCGGTATTCGGTCTGGCGTCCGACGGGGTCGTATCCTGTCACCCATACTATTCAACTATGCTATTGACTGGATCCTCGGGAGGGCCCTACGCGAGAGTGACGGCGTTGAATTTGCACCCGGACATCGACTGACTGATCTCGACTATGCCGATGATATCGCCTTACTTGCTTCAAGTTTTGGTGATCTGCAATCTATGGTGTTTCGGGTGAACGAAGTCGCTAAATCGGTCGGTTTGTCAGTAAACGCTGCGAAGACCAAAGTGTTCTCAAGCTGCATCCCTGACCAGGAGAAGGCAACCCTCGAGATTGATGGATGTCAACTTGAAGAAGTAGACAGTTTTAAATACTTGGGGCTAGGCTGCTGCCTAATGGGCAGAGTAAGGACGACATTGTCTCCCAAATCTATGCTGCCCGGTGGGTTTTCTCAAGCCTTCGGAAATGCCTATGGAACTGACGTGACCTCTCCATCGCCACTAAGATTCGCGTGTACCGTGCATCTGTCCGGTCTGTCCTCTACGGTTGTGAATGCTGGGCTTTGCGCGCGGCGGATGAGCGAAAACTGGAGGTATTTGACCACCACTGCTTGAGGACCATCCTTCGAGTGAAGTTCACTGACTTCGTCTCAAATGATACAGTCCGCGCTCGCTGCGACAACATCGCAAGGACAACTCAGGCCATCCAAGAAAGACGACTGAGGTGGTTCGGGCATGTTCCTCGTCGTCCACCTTAGGAACTCAGTGTTACTGCCCTCGATCCGGCACCGTTGCCCCATTGGAGGCGTCGAAGAGGGGGTCAGTTTAAAACCTGGCTCGACACAGTTCATCAAGACATGGAGGTGGTTCTTGGACCTTCGGTATTCGGTCTACGTCGTTGGAGAATGGAACGGGTTGAGCTGTCCAGATCTGCTGTCGCGGATCGTCACGCGTGGAGAAGTACAGTTCGGGACATCATCGAGGCCGGCTAGATCAGGCATGATCGCAGCCGTATCAAGTACAAGTACAAGTAAGTATACTATCACTGGCAGTCCGATCTTCGTTACCCACGATGTGCACCGTGTGCTCCACAGGAAGGTGACAGCAGGCATGGTTACTTGTGCGTTAGTTTAAAGCAGTACCCGACTTGCACTGCATCTATCACACCCCCTCCTCCCCTGACTGAGCCCAGTGTCAAGACCGGAGGCGGGGGAGGACGCAGGTGGCTGGCACGGACGAACCCGCACCTAGGCGTACCACCACACCCCGTGGCCCACAACATACACTGACCAGGATCCTAACCAACAACGAAATGGGTCAGAGGAGAAGGATGACACAAGTCACTGGGCGACCATGCACACGGCCTGTTGCCCAGCGGGAGCCCGAGCGCATGCACCGGCAAATAATCAGGCGCCAGATAACTGCCAGTGCACACCAGGCTGCGGGAGCCATAGTCTGCTGGAGCGTGGCATAGCATACGCACGCAATCCTTAGGGCCATACTATCAGTATAAGTTAATTCACACGTAAGTCGCCGTCCCTGGTCTCACAATTCTGTGGAGCACAAGGCGGATACCGTCGCAAATGACGGTCGAACATTCGTGTGTGCGAGAAAGAGAGGGGAAGAGTAAGAGGTATCCCGGTGACAAATGAGACGAAAACTACGTATATTCGCCAGATTAAAGCAAATTCCGGACAAAAGCCGTGTTGAAAAAATCGTGTCAATAAGCAGTGCCATCGAAATGTACTGTGGAGCTCCGACAAGAGGGGCAAGCCACAACTTTCCTTCTAAGGATTCGCAACCACCTTTGAAGACACTACCGTGAGAGAGAGGGGCATACAACTCCATGACAGACGTTAGGATTTGATAAAACTGATAGATATAAAATGTCTTACAGGGTTCAGCAGATGTGTCAGATTCCAACTTTCTCTTGCCTGATGGGCATGGGCGGGGAGAGGAGGGATTCAACAGGTCAAGGTCTTTAAGGAGGGAGGATCGATTGGCGAGGTCTGGAGGTAGGGTATACGTCTCGGGAACGTTCTTGTTGTGACTGCCGATGGACGACTGGGCTGCTGTGTCATTTTTTATATATTCCTGATAGCACTTAGAGCACATATCCTTAAATTGCCCACTGCCATAGAAACCACAGCCTCGTTTGCACAAGTTATTTGCCGTTGTGTCGCTCCCAACCTCCGGGGTTTTGTTATTCTGTAATTTGAAGGGTTAAGAGGATCATTAAGAAACGCACTGATGGCCGAGAAAACTGTATACACGTTAAAAAAAAAACAAAACGACAAATAAAAATAAGAGCCGTTCAAGAGGCCGTACTTACATCAGATGAGCTGAATATTTAAAAACTGCTAACTCCAACATGGTTTAAAGCATGTGTAAAGTATGTGCACCCAAGCTAAGAGTCAAATAGACTTTTTCCTGTGAGACCCGGATTAAGTAACATACGTTGTGGGAAGGTATGCGCCCGTGTGGTCCGAAAAAAAGGGTCGACTTAACGAGAGGCTGGGTGCGTCGGTGGCGCCGTTGCGGCGTCCACAATAGTGAACTTACAACTTATGGAGAGAGGAAAACTAACGCATAAATCGAAAAAGGCACCTCTTTCTACAGGTCGTACAGTAGTTGCTTGACTTCATACGCAGACGACATACTTACATTCATTTGAAAATAGTGCCCGCAATGGAAAAACCTGAAACTCAGGTAAAACATAGTTTTTGGGAAGAGATGTGGAGTGAGAAGTGGCCCCTAGATACGGGAAAACTCGAACGGGCCACAACCAAGTAGACAACGATGACAATCACAAATAGAGCAAGTGGCAACGTCGAAAAGAGTTTAACGTAGACTTTATCTGGTGATATGGCAAATCTTTCTGCATTGTAATTTGGTCTAGTTTTGTGATTATCTGCGCGATGCGAAGATGGCCGATTTAAACCGGCAAATGCAGACAGGGCGCAAAATATTCGAAAAGAGAAGCAGGCGTGGGTTTCAAAAAGACACAACTCGAATAAAAGTTGAAAAATAAAAAGGGGAATCGAATTAATGGGGAAACACAAGCAGAAACGGGTAGAACTACCATTTTGATCCCCAAACAAAGGCGACCGGAAAGCCAACAAGCCACCTGGTTCGAAGGAAGCCCCGAGCCTCTGGTTAGTGGAGTAGACAAACAAATTTAACTGATGGTTGCATTTAAATTTAAAAAGGATGACGCATCTACTCAGGCATGGCGAGGTTTTGGGCCTAATACCCTATCTGAATGACGAGAAATGTCTTCTTTTTAAAAATCTGCTTGCATGTACTGAATACTGGGATGCTTTCTATACGATTTTGAATTTTGAGGAGCAAGAAGGACATTTTCAATCGAGTTCTTCACTGGAAACAGTTGGTCCGGCATCAGAAATTGGATTCTCAAACGCATTGTGGCCTACTACCCTCAACCTTGCTGTCATCGTTGCCCTCATCGTACGACTAGGACACTTTTCTGCAAACCTGGCGATTCTGCTGGCAATCTGAGCGTAGCCAACACAGCCTACAAATCCTTCATATCGTCCCGAATTGTCCACCGTACCTTTGGAACAGGACCTACTAAAGGCTGAGTCGATAATTTCTACACTGCTTGTGGAGCTGCCTAGATTTGTTCTCCTGGCATATTACCAAAAAGTCTTAGTTAAGAAGACCTCCAGGCCTTGCATTCTTGAGATTCTCCGACAAACCCAACCATGCACACAGTTTTCCCTATTTGGCCCTAGGCGACGTTTTTTTTCTTCGATTCCTGTGGCCTGCTCCTTTTCCATAACTTCACGGCATGACTGAAGTACGCACTGAAGTCCGCAAAATGGGGTCGGAATGTGGAATCAATCCAGCGATCACCCCTTGCTTAGTCAAGTCGTGGACGCTACATCCCTGCAACTCTTCAAGAAACGCTTGGATGGTTATTTGCGTCCCCTGTTTTCCCTCGACGGTCTGAATCTGAACTAATACCCCTGGTCCCCACAAATATTTTCTCTGAGACAATGCTACTCAAATGAACGCAGTACTGTTTTAATAGTGAATATTTTTTGTTCGTGTACAGTTATTTCTAACGAGCTGACATGTAAACAATAGGGTTTTCAGAGGCTTTGCCTATTATCCTTACCAAATAAACTAGATAAACTAAAAAAAGTGCGCTAACCCCTACGCCACCGCAGCACGTTGGCGAGCGATATCACATAGTCTACTTGACTGTATGGACGCAGAAAATGTAGGCCAAAGCTGCAGTGGATGCCAGATTCTAGCCGCCAAGGTCAACTATCTTGAGGAAGAAATCAAAAAGATGAAAGCCCAGTTGCGATGCAGTCTAGACCAAGCTAACGCTGCCAATATGCCTACTGGACGAGTAACCAGAAGAAGGGCAAAAGCTCCCACCATAATAGGCACGCCAGCACCTATTACAGCGGCCCCAGAAGGAATAGCTAAAAAGCGAGAAAATAACGACCAGAAAGGCAACACAAAAACTGAAGAGAAAAAGAAATCCAACTGTAAAATGGCCGAGGAAAACGGACGGCTACTTCCGGATGATGCCTCTTTAGCGGCCGAAGCAGAGACATTGACAGATGCTCCGCCCCTCATGTCAAATGCAGTGTGTTCAAACACCTTTGCTGACTCTCAAAAACAGTCCGAGCTTGATAGACCTGATACAAGCGGTGGAATCGATTCATCCATCACAGTCACAGATTTCTCTCCGCAGTCTTCTCTGCCAAGTACTTCTTCCAAGATTGTCAACATAAGAGTCAAACAAACAGACGGCGTAAGCGCATCTGCTCCACCATCACCAGCGCGCTGTCCCAGAGCGTTACGTCATTTAGGGAACCACAATTCCGTAGAAAATAAAAAAGAGACCGACAGAGAACAATGTCTTATTATTCAGGGGCTCCCTGAATCAAGTACAATTACTCCCAAGGAGCGAATTTCGGAAGACCTATCACTCTTCCAAGGTCTTCTCAATAATATTTTGGAACCCACGGAGGCTGTTGAAGTGATCAAAGACTTCCGCCTTGGAAAACGAGCAGATAATCCATCAATGTCCACTCGTCCTCGGCCTCTTAAAGTTGTGCTGACCCGCAGCGACCAAGCCAGTCTCATTTACTCCCGGCGATTCAGGATTAAAGGCTCCAACCCAGGTGTTTTTTTTCAATCGGACTACTCGTCAGCCGAACGGCTCAAACGTCGTCAGCTAGTTCTAGAACTAAGAAAGAGGCTCAGCGAGGGGGAGAACAATTTAGTAATATACAACGACCAAGTACGGCGGCGTCCGTCACCCCTCCTTTGGACAGGGCCTGTCCGAATGACCGCGCAGCCGACATATTAAGTGAAGGCGCTAACCTAAATGTAACCACATCTTCCGTCAGCCGGAAATTGAAATTCTTGTACACCAACGTGCAGAGTTTGCTATCAAAGTTCGACGAGCTGAAGATCCACCTCTGCGACCTATCCCCTGACGTAATCTCTCTAACAGAAACCTGGTTGACCTGGACGACCGTGAGCTGGCCTTGCCTGGCTACCAGGTGTTTAGAAGGGATAGGGAAGGGCGTCAGGGAGGAGGCGTACTCACGTATGTAAAAAATGGGCTAAATGTATCAGACAAGACCGATAACTTTTCGTGCAGTTCCGAGGCAATCTGGTTGTCTATTAAAGTGCCGAGCTCGCCTAGCCTCGATGTCCGAGACGGGACAACATGGCCGACGCTCGCCTGCTGGAGGAGCTCGAAAAGTTCGCTACGCGGCCGGATATCCTAATCATGGGCGACTTTAACGCGCATCATATTGACTGGAGCTCAACCCATGCAAATAGCTCAGAACAGACCTTCGATAGGAGTTTTCTGAACACGGCACTGAAACTATTTCTCACTCAACATTTCATGTTACCAACTAGAGTACGCGAAGGCCAACAAGCCAACTGCCTTGATCTTGTCCCTACGAAGTCACAGGACAGCATTGATGAGGTGTCATGCCTACCCCCCTTAGGTAAAAGTGACCCCGTCGTTCTTCTATGGGATTACTCGCTTTTTTCCATGCCCAAGAAACCCGGGACAGTTAGAAGAAACCTTTGGCGCGGGGATTTCGACCAACTGAGGGTTGAAATTTCACGCATTGAGTGGGAGTCCATATTTGTTGGGAGCATACTCGAAGACTGGCAACGGTTCCGAGAAATTCTGCACGAGCTGATCGTAAACCGCTGTCCGCTTTCACGGAAGAGGTTAACTAACAGACCTCGATGGCTTACGCAAGCCTTGAAGAATGAAGTGAATAAAAAACGACGGCTGTGGATAAAATCGCTTTCTGACTGGAGCCCCACATCTATATGCGCGTACAAAATTCAAAGAAATCGAGTCAAGGGTCTTATCCTCAAAACCAGAAAGGAATTCGAACGGGATCTGCTTAACCGTGCCGCGGAGAACCCTAAATTATTCTACGGTTGCATTAGGCAGTGCACGCGGAACAAGGACCCAATACCCCTGCTAAGGACTGCTGAAGGCGAACATCTCACTGACGACAGGGCGAAAGCAGATCACCTTTCAGAATTTTTTCGGTCTGTTTTTAGTAGCGAAACAGGATTCAACCCTTCGGCCCCTCAATCCTTCGAAGACACCCCAATTATAGAGACCGTCCAGTTCACTGAGGGTATGGTTCTGACGGAGTTGATGAGGCTAAAAGAATCCAAATCACCAGGTCCCGATGAGATTCCGGCGAAGATTTTGAAGGAACTCGCCGGTGAGTTGTCTAAGCCACTCTTCATGCTTTTCCATACATCCTTCAAGACCGGATATCTGCCACTCGACTGGACGTCGGCGTGGATTACGCCGCTGTACAAGGGCGGAAGTCGGGTCTCTGCGAACAATTACAGACCGGTCAGCCTCACCTCCATTTGCTGTAAGATTATGGAGAAGATAATAAAGCACGTAAAATTAATCCAATCATTTTTAACGTTTTTGAGGATTTTTTTTCACCCCTCAATTATCATGTTTCTCAATGGACTAATAATTCAGAAACTATGAATTGCATTTTGTAAAGATTCGGCCTACCTCGTCTTAAACTCGCATGTAGATTTATTTTAACTTGCTTTGATGGGACCCCGACGGATCTTTAATAAAAATTATCTATCTATCTAATGCAGTTCCTTGAACAAAACCATTTGCTTTCCGATTCTCAGCATGGATTCCGAAAAGGCAGATCCTGTGTGACAAACCTGCACTACTGTCTGGAATACTGGACTAGGGCTGTTGATAGAGGAGATATGGTGCATGCCATCTATATCGACTTTAAAAAGGCCTTCGATAGTGTGCCTCACCACCGCCTTCTATATAAACTTAACCGTGCGGGAGTGCGAGGTAAGCTTCTGATGTGGATTCGTAGCTTTTTAATCGGCCGCTCTCAAGCCGTCCACGTCGGTGACCAACAATCTGCCGAGGTTGCCGTTAAGAATGGTGTTCCCCAAGGCTCTGTTCTTGGCCCTACACTGTTCCTCGTATACGTCAATGACTGCGCAAACGAACTGAATTGCGATGTCGCAATGTTTGCCGATGACATAAAGATCTGGAGTACCATACAAAACGAAGTTGACGAGGCGCGACTGCAGACAAATCTGGACCACCTCGAGCAATGGTCGAAAGACTGGCTTCTACTGTTTAACGTAAACAAGTGTAATTTCCTACGCGTCGGCAGAACCAGTTCCCCTAACCACACGGTTTACCGTCTGACTGGCAAATCACTGCAAGAAGTCGACGCACAGAAGGACTTGGTTGTATGGATCACAACCTCGCTCAAGCTTTCGCTGCAATGTTCAAAGATGGCCAAGTCGGCGATGTCCATGCTATACCTTGTCAAACGGGCGTTCTCCTCCTTTGATGAAGATTGCTTCGCCAAGTTCTTTCAAACTTTTGTGCGACCGCATCAGGAGTTTGCTATTCAAGCATGGCGACCCTGGACCGCTAAAGACTTGGGCATACTCGAAAAAGTTCAACGGCGAGCAACGAAACTTGTATCTGGGCAGTGGTCACTACCCTACGAAACACGATTAGCTAATCTTGACATCTTTCCTTTGAGTTACAGACAGCTACGTGGGGACCTGATACAAGCTTTCCGCATCGTGCGCAATCAGGGCTGCTGCCTCGCGTTTGGAGACTTCTTCGAGTTGGCGACTACGACTAACCTGAGAGGCCATCCACTCAAACTGCGTGTGGCTGGTGCCCGGCTAGACACACGAAAGTTCTTCTTCTCCAACAGAGTGGTTGCAGCTTGGAATGCCTTGCCTGAGGATGTTGTTATGTCGGGTTCGGTAGATACTTTTAAATGGAGACTAGATCAGCATCGTAGCGCGCACCACAATAACGCCGGACTACGGCCACCTTGACAGCCAACGCTGAGAATCTAGTGTTATAACGATGCTACTACCAACTTTTAAGTAATATATGTCTATGTAGGTTATTAAGCTTGGGCCATGTCGCACACCGCTGTTCGCATTCACCACGACGTCTGTAGACCAAACAGTTTTCCTTCTTTTCCCGTATCTTATGTGTGTCTCAACTGTCCGCTGAATTTGATCAACAAAGCAAGTTAATGTGACCCTAAATTCTGTTAACGCATGACATTCTGTGTTTATCTGTACAGTTTTTACTATTCCCCTCGCATTTCTTTCATGTTACTTCCTTTCCATATCCTCCATGTATATCCTCTGCATGTAACCAATAGGGATTTCAAAGGTACACACCTACTTTCCCTGAAATATACTGATACTGAATACTGATACTGATACGATCGTATTCTCCACCCGCATGGGCAGTAAACTATACCCCGACCGAGCGAAGTGTAGAACGTATATGGTCTATAACCTTATTAAAGTAATGTGACAAGACATTATAGCCCTCTAAAACTTCATCACTTCTTTTGTCAATTAAGAGCCCTTGCCCGTTGAGAGACTACGAAAGACTTTTAACGCAAGTGTCCATACATCCTCAGTACATCCTTATGAATCAAGATATCTGTTTTCTCATGCGTGTAAATAGGGAATTTGTTGTGTTCTGTCCGAGGCTGTTGCTTTTATTGGATGAAACGATGGTATGTATTGTTGAGATTGAGCCTCAATAGGCGTAATTGACCACACAGTAAAGTCCCTCATAGTAAGAACAAGGTCTGCATTTCCATTCACGAAAATGTCGGTAGTCCATGCACGACTGAGGAATGACTGCCAGCGTTCTTACTGCAGTGCAGGATGCTGTCTAGAAACGATTAGAGAAGTCATAAGTTAACTTAGGCAACAGTTATGCAGGTGCAAGTATACCTCCAAGTAATTTTTTGTTCAGCATACTTGCTAGCAACCAGCAGTTTATTGTTTATCAATTCAATTCAATTCAATTATTTTTATTAAAGACCCGTCGGGGTCCGATCAAAGCAAGTAAAAATAAATTTACATGCGAATTTTAGACGAGGTAGGCAAAATCTGTACAAAGTGCAGTACATAGTTTTTGAGATTAGAAGTCCGTTAAGCAAAATGAAAATGAAAAACGAGGGGTGAAAAAAAACTCCAAAGCAAAATTTAAAAATGATTGTAGTAATTTAGCAGGAGAAAAAAACCCTCAAATAAATAGCATCAGAAAAATGCAGGGAGGACTGTCTTGCATGTGGCGGTACAGAATGGAATATAGTCCGACATCAACATGGCCGAAATAAATTTCAGCTGTATATGGCATTGTGTAACGGATTTCATAAAATGGTACGTAGGCGGGTCGGTCAGGACTGGCCTGTATCGCCTTGAATAAGAAAAATAAGTGGCGAAATTGAAAACCAGTCTCGAGCTGATAGGAACCCAGATGCGGTCGGTTTCATTCAACCGAGTCCATCCGAGCATGGGGGGAGATGCGACCAGACTACTAGTATATGGCGAATATAGAAGGCTTTGTCAAGACCGCCGATGGAGCGCATTCTGTAAGGGCACGATGACAACCAGTCTCGAGGCGACAAGAACCCAGATGCGGTCTGTTACATTCATCAGAGTCCATCCGAGGATAGGGCAAAGGAGATGCGACCAGATTACTAGTATATGGCGAATATAGAAGGCTTCGCCAAGAGCGTCGATGGTGCGCATTCTGTGAGGGCATCATGAAGATCAGTCTCGAGGCGATAGGAACCCAGATGCGGTCGGTTACATTCATCCGAGTCCAAACGAGGATGGGGTAAGGGAGATGCGACCAGACTCCTAGTATATGGCGAATACAGAAGGTTTCGCCAAGAGCATCGATGGTGCGCATTCTGTGAGGGCACGATATATGAACTGAAAAATTGGAATAATTAACATTTCTGGTGAGGGATCTTAGGTAGCGAGACTACTCATAAAGGAAGGAAACGTGAACAGATACGGAAATTTAATAGCGGCATACTAAATTCCCGGTGGCCCTTTCTCAGTGTCATAGAAAAAGTTGTCTGGGAAGGATGAGGAAAATAAAAGTTTAATCGAGTCAGTATTCAGATAAAGGCGTAGCCTCCTCTTAAAGGTGTGTAGATTTTCTGAAGATGTTATATTTAAGGTCAAGCCGCTGGTTTTAAATTTGAAGATAAGTGGAGGATATTATTTTTAGTGGTTTTTCTGTGAGATCTAACGATTTTAGTACCCGTTTTTTTGGTTGAATTTCCTTAAATACAGGCCTTTTCTCTAAGAACTGCCCG